TTGTCAAAATGGATGTCGCCACTATTGAATGTCTAGATTACAGTAGAATGATTTGAGGCATGTTTGATTGATGTGAGGCCATGTATAAGTTAGTCGACGTGGGGGGTAACTGTCAGTGGTGGCGTGCGACCGTAGGTGGTGCAGAAAGTGGGGTTGCCGTGAAGGGTTGTATATGGTAGTTTGGTATTTTAGGCTCTAAATGTGGCTGTTTTCAACAGATTTTATGATCAATACTGTGGGAGAGGATGTTGTGGAGGGTGAAGCGACGACAGACATGGTGACCAGAAGGTGGTGTTATGGGGATCTATAGGTGGCGGCTTGGTGAGATTGTGAAAGTGGTGGTGGTGGAGAATTTAAGACTTATTTGTAATATTTTGAAAAATTTAAGACTATGATTATAATTAGTTGTTTATTTTTTTCTTTTCTTTGTCCTTTTCATTTGAATAGAAGGATAAAATCATCATTTTATTAAAAAAATGGTTGAAAATAACCTTTTGTTCAATGAAAGGTGGAAGGTATGGGTGAAAATGCAAAAAAATGAAAGGTAGAGACGTTCTGTGCTATTTACCCTTTTAAAAAAAAAAAAAAAACAAGATAGCATCAACTTCATGGATCCTATTAGCTGTGTGAACTTTTTTTCTTAAAAATGGGAAAATACCTTTTTTAAGGTAAAATAAGGACATATTTATTATATTTATTCATTGTATATGTACTTATTGAACTAAAAATTCATGTCTGAATCATATTTTTTAAATTTTCATTTTGTTTCGAATAAATTTTTAATTATACGTTCTTTCAATAAATAATTTTATAAGTATATTAATCCTTTATTTGGTGGAGATTAAAATCAATTTTTTAGTAAATTTTGATAAATGTTGATAAAATGTGTGGTTAAAAAATTATAAACTTTATAAAATATATAATTAAAATTAATTGTTGAATTTGACTTAAATTTAAATTTTAATCTTTACCAAATATGGGATTAATGCATGGTTAATCATTCTCGTAAAATCTATTAAAAATACGAGGCTCAAGCATAGGGAAAAGACTTTTGACAAAATTTCTAATGTAATAATTATAATAATATCACTCTTGAAAAAAAAGAGCGCAAAAAAACAAAAACAATAATTAAAAATTAAAATGGGTTAATTTCACAAATGGTCACTGAAGTTACAGCAAAATAACAAAATGGTCAC